TGGAAGATCAGAGAACAAGCCACAGCTAACCTCACCTGGTCAACTTCTCAGCTGGTCTTGTTTCCTCAGACTGGAAGCTTCTGAGTCCTCATCCAGAATGAATCCCAGCTGAACTGTGCTGCTTCAAAGCCTGAAAGCTTAACCAGCCGAATGCTTAACCAGCCACATGCTTAACCAGCCAAATGCTTAACCAGCCAAATGCTTAACCAGCCAAATGCTTCTAGTTTCTGGGCCTCACGCCTTATATACATACTTTTCTTCTTTCTACCATCATTCCCTAGGGTTAAAGGCTTGCTTCCTGGGATTAAAGGCTGTTTCCTATGTGGCCTTGAACTCACAGAGATCCCAGATGGATTTCTGCCTCTGGAATGCTAGGATTAAAGGCGTGTGCTATCACTGCCTAACTAGTGGCTGTTCTGTTCTCTGACCCCAGATAAGTTTATTAAGGTACACAATATTTTGGGGAACACAATACCACCACACTTTTTGCTTTTGCAATGGGAGATCTGAACAAACATTTTATATTTTTAGCTATGGCACATTGGGAGGTTTCTATTCTCTCCTCAGCTGGCTTTAACAGGTGTCTCTCCTTCATCAGACACTGGCCCCTGAATCAGAACTGCACCTGCCTCGTTAGCCAGCATTGAGGCTGGCATTTCTGATAGCAACTTTCCTCGGGGCTTGTGTTTGCCTTAGCCGTCAGTGAAAAAAACATTTGCAATAGAGCTTTTCCATAGCTCCTTCAGAGATTTTCTCCCACTGATCTTATTCTCATTTTGCTTGTTCCTGCCCCCCACCCCCAAATGCAGAGCTTCAGCTGTCTGCGGCTCTGTACCTCTGCCAGCTGCCTTTGGAGGTAGGGGCTTCCCCCCCCCCCAATCTGCCTCAAATTCTAGCAGCTTTTTCAGGTCATATATTTTCTGGGGAGGATTATGTCCCTTCTCTGTTTCTTCAGAGTTTTTCTCCCAGAAAGTTCCCAGTTTGGTCTCAATTTATCCCCTCTACCCCAGAAACAGTTTCCGACACTACAGTGGCGACTTTCCCTGCTACTGAAGGTAGGGGCTTTTTGTTCGTTTGTTTTCGGGGTCTGTGTGGTTTGCGTACAGACTGAAAATCTAACAAGGGAGGTTTTTGCCATTTCTAAACTCCCATTAGGACAGGTGCTTTGCCTCATCAGGCCTTCACCTGGCCCAG